TTTAAACCCCCACTACATGACACATAAAAAAAATAGCGAATAGAACCCTGTTGTTCATAAATTAGGCGCGATAGGATGACTGGATTCGTGTGAAGCTCCTGGTTCTGATGGCATAAGTCTCATGTCTCAATTTTTCCAGAATAAGGAAACCCCAAATTTAAACCTCTGAAAACCTAGGAGACGTTAATGGTAGATTCTCGTACAGGGCATAAAAATTCAATTGAATGGCATGGTTAGCTTCAAAATTATTCAATTAGTATAAATCAACAGAAAAAATGCAATGAAGATGCGTATAAATTGAAACACGAATATGAACAAAATTGGAAACAGAACCACTTGATTCTACTGTTTCTTAATGTTAGAGGTTATGATTTTGATCCAGGAAGCTCCCTTGATGTCTCAGGAAGGTAATGGAATGGTCCTCTTGCCCTGAAACGAACTCTAAGTGCGTTTTCAGTGTTGAGCTTTTTGACAAAAAATGCAAAATTCTTATGAGACTTCAGGTGCAGCTTTCAGGTCTTTTTCATTAGGGTTAGGTTTGTGCTTGTATAAGGAACGATTTTGGTCAATAATCCAAGCCCAAAGCTTTGTCTTTAATGGTTTTCAAAATTTGATTTTTATGAATCTTTTTCAATATTTTCTTCATGAAGAACATGCCAATTTGCACCAAATCTTTCCTTTTTTGATATGCACGAGATCTTGAGTCTTTAAGGAGTCTATTAGCTGTATCACAAGATTCAAAACACATGCTTTGCTATTTTTGTCATATTTTATTTAATTAAATGAATTAATGGTGATTAAAAATTCAAATAAATAATAAAAAATGATGAAATAACTTCCCTTTGGGCCAATGGTCGTGCATAGCCTTTGGATGATGATTCTTGGAAGAAATTGTGGCCCATTAGCAATTTTAAGGCATTTGAAGCAAAGTTGACTTTTCAAAATTCCCAAAACTTTCCCAACTTCCACAAGGCATATCTTGCTCAATATTTAAGCTTTGATCATGTTCTTGGACATTTTGGAAAGGTCTTGAAGTCCTCTAACCAATGCTTTTAGTCCCATGTCATTTGGATTTACCAATCTCAAGTTATGGTCTTTGACTTAAAGTCCCTTTTTGTTGACTTTTGAAAATGACCTATAATGTTGAAATTGATAACTTTTTGTGAGAGCATTTCTTGGACTTGAAGTGTGAAGAGGAGTTGTAGGAAATGTCATTCTCTTCAAAATGAGCTTTGGATGGAATTTTTCTGATGAACCATGAAGAAGTTATGCCTTGGTCAAGTTACAATTAACTTTTTCAACTGTCCAAATATGGAAACTTTTGCATCTTGAGATTTTTTGAGCCATGCCTTGAAAATCATGATCAAGAATTGATCAAATGATGTTTGTGGCTTCAAAATAAGATGTTGACCAAAAATTTGAACTTTTGACTGTCAAATGACCATTTTGCCCCTGCAGTTGACTGTTGAGCAATTAGGGTTTTTGACTGTGCAATTTTGTGCTGTAAGTCTTGAAACTTGGCATGAGGATGCTTGACCATGTTTATAGGCATGTGGGACTTGATTGGACCCTTGGAAACTTCAATTTCTTTGCCAGAACCAAAACCCTAGTTTTTGACTGTTAGGAGGCCCTTGGACTGTGCAACCCTTGGGGAGATTTTGAAGCATGCTCTTTGCAAATCTTGAAGAATATGGGAGGGCAAATTTTGGGGTACAACACATATGAACATGATTAACTGTTAACAAATAAATGCGTAAGAATAGGAATAGCATTTACTCAAGACTCTAGGAGCTAGGATGATACTTAAGCTGTCCATAAATCCCACAGAATCCCTTTCATAAGATTATCCCCAGTGAAGTCGTCAAAGATACTCCTATGAGATTACCCCCACAGAGTAGTCTTCACAAATAAGGATACATTCCCCGCAATCTCCCCGGGAGATTGCTCCAGTAAATAAAGGAGTATAATCTCTTCCCCATAATTTCCCTAAGGAGTTCCAATCAGTACACTTCATGGAATTTCTCTTCCCCGGCTAAGTTTGATCCTCCAAAACTAGAAAAAAAACCTATAGAGTTTTTCTCTTTAGCAAAATCAATTTCCCCAAGAGAGTTGGTTTCCTCAGCATAATATTTCTCCATCAACAGGGTTTATTTCCCTAACAACCTATGAATTCCCTAGCTTAAGTTTATTCCTCAGACTATTCTTCTCCCCAGTAAAGTTACCACTATCCCCAGAAAGTTGCTGCAAAACCTGGAATCCGACCAGACGCCAGTTAACTTTATCATCCCCGGAAAGTTGCTGCAAAATCTAGAATACGACCAGATACCAGTTAACTTTATCCTCCCCAGACAAGTCGGGATATTATCCATCTCTTTTATCCCCAGTCAGGGTATATAAGAAATAAATTCCCCAGTAGAGCAACGGACGACCAAGGTTCCCAAACTCTACTCCCCAAACAAAAATCAATACAGCCCCTGCAGAGTCTTCTCAAACAAGTAAGCAGGAGTCCCCAGTGGAAGCATTCTATACAAGATTGAAGATACACATACTCTTCATCCCCAACAATAGTCAGGGATTTATTTTCCCAGACGAGGATACTGCATAGGGTTTATAATTACACACTTCAATAATATTTCACGTTCATACACCACAACATATGTACACGAAACGCATATAACACCGTCTCATTTATTTTGAGAACAACATTACATAATGCATTTCATACATCATGACATTGCATACAGCTAACTCTTTACCTTATCAGGAAAGATCAATGAACAGACGAATATCATCAACAATTTTCAAACAGGTCCAAGATTAAGTCCCGAAACAAGACGAGGCAACTATCTATGAGACCAGGTCAGAGGTTAATTTCCGAAACAATAAGGGGAAACTATCTCTACGGCCAACAAAGAGCAGGTTCCAGATTAATTCCTGAAACAAGACAGGGAAACTATTAGGATAACCAACCACAGATTGATTCCTGAAACTAGATAAGGCAAATATTTGTGAAGAATAAAACTGATGAAGATCAATTCCCGAAACAGGATGGGGAGGCTATCTTTATCACCAATGGTGTGAATTCCCGAAACAAGACGGGTTTACCAACAAACCGATTGTAGATAAATTCTCAAAATAAGACGAGTTTACCAAAGATTTATTCTCATATTTATCCCAGTTGAAGACGGACACAAACATCTTCTGGCTCAGTTTAAGTTGACCAAATATTTATTCTGATACTTCTTCCAGTAGATACTTTTTCTGGATCAGATTAAATCGACCAAAGATTTATTCTGATACTTCTCCCAGTTAAAGACAGACACAGACATCTTCTGGCTCAGTTTAAATCGACCAAAGATTTATTCTGATACTTATTCTAGTAGATACTTTTTCTGGCTCAGATTAAATCGACCAAAGATTAATTCTGATACTTCTCCCAGTAGACCTTTTTGAGCTCAGTTTAAATTAAACATAGATTTATTCTAATACTTCTTCAGATACAGTCAAGCCTAGACTCATTCTGACGCCTCTATCAACATTTACTTTGGATGGCATCTATAAGCCCATTTCTAATGACTCTCCATCACTTCTGGATGGCATCTATAAGCCCATCTCTGACGATTCTCTGTCACCTCTCTAAATGGCATCTTTAAGCCCATTCCCGGTATAATCAACCAACCGCGTTACTTCTTGCACAAGCAAGTGCAAATTTCTGGGCACTTAAGTTTTCAATCATCTTCTACCTTCAAGTTACGAATGGCAGACACGCCAATCTAACTTTTCAGGTTTAAGAAGATTGAACAGGGGCAGCTGTTGTACCCCAAAATTTTCCCTCTCATTTCATTTAAAAATATCCCCTCATGCTCCTAGGGTTTTCAATCGCTTTAAGCTACCCAAGCTTTCTAGGCCTCAGGATATCGCACCGATTCTTTATTTCATCGAGAAATTAGAACTACAAGGTATTTTGATCTTGAACCGTGGCTCTCCCACCGTATTACACATGGGATCAAGGTTTTAGGTTTTCTTCCAGCTCAAGATTATCCATCAGGCATGATTGGGTTTCTCAAAGGCAAGTAGTGTGGGACTTCACATTTGTAAGCTTCTTCTTGATTCAAGTTCGTTGAATCCTTGAATTTCTCAGGAATCTTTGGGAAATCGGGGTTCTCTCCTCAGTTACCATCTTCAAATTTGTTCAGTCGTAAATTAGGGTTTTGACCCCTTTCAAGTGGTGAGCTTCATTTTTATCAAGATTGGGTTTCTATGTTCAAGTGATTTTTGGATTACTTGTTTTGAGGATGAATATTGAAGTTTATTATGTAATATTTGTTTGAGCTTTTATAGTGCATCATTTTTGGGTGTTTAGAAGTTCAGGTTTTCGAGTCTTGATATTCATTCTTTTTCAAAAAATTCCATTCAGAGACAAATTGGTGTTATTTCTTTTGATTTTCAAGTTTGTTTTCATCTTTGAATTTTTAAAGAACTATAAGGCATCATGATGATTCAAACTTTGATTTTCATCCAATCTTCACTAAGGAAGCTTCAACTAGAATTTAATTTCATGATTTGGCAAGTTGTTGTTCCAAGATTTGTTTTCAAGATACAAGTATGATTCAAGTTTCTATGGCCTAAGTTCCAAGTTTTATCATGGAAAATGCAAGAATACCAAGTTTCTCATTCATCGCATCCTTATTGTTCCAAACAAGATAGAACTTTTGGATTTTTTTTTAACATCATGACTACCAATTTCAACATTCAATTTCCAAAAACTCCAAATTACATCACATTCATCATTTACAATAACGAATATCCATAACATTATTCTAAGTTTCAAACCTATTCACAAATCCAAACATTTCCAAGGAAATTACAAGTCCAAAATTATTATTCAGGATACATTCAAGGAAATTACAAGTGCATAAATTCTTAATATCCTAGCAGCTTTCACGTTTCAACAATTCCCCAAGTGTTCCATGGAATTTCTCTTTATCAAATTCAAGCTTTCATGTCCAAACTTCATGCTCACCCTTTCGAAACAGCCCTGCACAATCACAACAAAAGTAATCAAGTTATAAAAACAATTCACAACTCACAAACAAAGAGAGTTCATATTTCTATCCTAGGCCTAAGGTTCCTAAAATATGCTAAAACACATGTTCCTTTTTCAAGCTTCATGCTATAACCAAACAAAACCTTGCCAAGACTTGTCCAAATAAAAATTTGCATTACAGTCCAATAAAAAACTGCACAAAGCAGTCCAAAACTGTTGATGCCCTACACCATACAATAGCCCAAAATACCTTTGCCCAGACTGCAAAAACCATAAAAAATTACCAAATCCATGATCTTGTCCATACTACCATGATGTCCCTAATCATTCCAAAAACCTTGCAAAAACAACCTTCTATGTCACTCCAAAACCTGCTGTAAACCTACATCATAACAAACCAAATATTGCACAATTTCAGCAAAAACAAAACTGCAGCAAATAGAAAATTTCACCATAGTCCCTTTGATCTCCTCTCATCTAAACCACAACAGAAATTTCCTCTTCATACTCCATCCTCTACATCACTACTCCCATTAACCTCCAAATGATCCCCCTGAATCAGCATCACCAAACACCCTTCATCTCTCAACACCGCTCTTCAAAACCCGTATCTTCTCCCTTCCGTATATGAACAACAACTCCCTTTATTACTCTTCACTTATCATTCACTATCAAACAATCATCATCACCCTTTAATCGCATTACTCAAACTTCCTCCTCTATATATCACTATTGTTATAACAACTGCAATACTCTCTTCCCTCACATATCTCCTCAGTCTCTTCAAAACCACTAACGGTAACACATCCAACCATCGCCACCTTCCATTTTTCTTTCCGTAAACTGCTGATTTCGCCTTCACTGATCATCACCATCATCACACGGACTTTTGTCTTCCATCATCGCACAACAACAAACCAAAACACTCATAGCAACAACAACAGCATAGAATCGTAAAAGCAAAAAAGGAAAAATATTGCACTGAAGAGATTGAAACAGTGTACCTGAAAGTGCTATTGATTTCCTCATATCGGTAACCTTTATTTCTTCCAATCGCTTTATATACATGCTTGCTTTTTGATTCTGTGAACACTTTTGCATTTTTGCTACTGTCATTTTTTTGCTATTGTTGCGAAACCACAAGAGAGAGAGCGATACAGAAGGAGTTTTTGTAGAATAGAGAAGTACTTTTTGTTGCCGTTCTTGCACGATTAAGAAACAAAGGAGGAATATTTTTGGTTGTTGATTGATGATGGCTGAGAAGCGGAGAGAATAGAAAGAGAGAGAAATCATAGGGTTAACCATTGGAAGAAGAAGATGACTTTTGGAAGAGAGGAATATTTGTGGCGTTGGTTTGATTTCCCTAGGGTTTCCAACCCGTTTGTTTCTTTTACTTAGTGGGAGTTGGGTCCGGATCCGGGTCAACCCGGTCCGTCCCTGTTGATGTTTTTGTTTAAAATCTTTTTTTCTTTCCATTAGGCCTAACCCAATTCTTTTCTACACCCATTTGTTTTTTTTTCCAGCAAACAAACAATAACTCATTTGGGCCAGCTCTCTTTCCCAAAGCCAAGCCCAATTCCGAAATTCAAATTCCACCGCCATACTATTTAGTTTAGTTTATTAGTTTTTTTTTTAATTATATTTAATTTAGGTTAATTAGTTTATTAGAGATAAATATGTAGTTTTAATTAGATAATTTTAGTAATTAGCTTAAGTTTAGAATTAATTTAGTGGATTTAGAATATTATTTTAGTTTAGAATCATTTTCAGTAATTTTTAGTTAGTTTAGAAACATTTTTACAACTTTAAATTTTTAATTTAGTTTAGTTTTAATTTAATAATTTTAGAATTTTAATTTTGATGATTTTAGAATTTTAATTTTGATAATCTTAGGACTTTAATTTAATCGAAATAACTTTTGTTTTATTTACATATATATATATATATATATATATATATATATATATATATATATATATATATATATATATATATATATATATATATATATATATATATATATATATATATATATATATATATATATATATATATATATATATATATATATATATATATATATATATATATATATATATATATATATATATATATATATATATATATATATATATATATATATATATATATATATATATATATATATATATATATATATATATATATATATATATATATATATTACTTTCTTTTCTATTAAAACACACCGAAAAAAACAATTTTCTTTCTCTTTTCATTTTCTCGTAGTTTACTATTTTTCGCATGCTTTTGATTGTTGTAAATTGCTTATGGTTTGTATTAATTTAAGTAGGCCTTTACTTCATCCCCATTCATAAATTTGTACCCCCATTCCCGAAGTGATGTAATAGCATAGAACTTTATTTTTCGCACTTTACCGCATTTACTTATACTGTATAGTAATTTGGCATGTATGGAAAGATTTAAAATCAATCGCTAGATAACCCTAATCAAGACAAATTAATTAAAATCAAAACACTCTTCACACACGCACCTCTAGAGTAACCTCGCTTGTTGCCTCGGAAAAACAGTCATGTCCCTCGAATATGGGACGCTTTAGCAAAGACCCTCGATAAAAAAGGATCGTAGCCCCTCGATGACCCTTCGATTGTGCCTTCAGTAAAACGATCTTAGTCCCTACAGAAATTGCTAAAGCCTCCTACAAGTTGTCTTCTATTATTTTACGATGAGCCGCTCCTGTCCCTCACATCCAATGATATGGACTTCTACCAACTAATGATAGACAAGCACTACCTAAAGGAGGAGGAAAAGAACAAAGACTTTTTTGAGTAGGTAGATTGCTCATAATTGCTTGCTCATAAACAAAACCATTTCCATACCTCACATTTTCAAAATACTTTTAAAAAAAAACATTTTGTATACATTCTCAACGATACGAGAATCATTACAAAATGGCCTTACATTGGCATCTTCAAAACATCTTTTCAAACATTCATTTTCAATGAATATTTTCAAAACCAACACTTTCTATACATTCTCAACGATACGAGAATCATTGCCAAGTTTGTCGTATGAAGGCGTTTTCAAAATATTTTTAAACTTACACAAACGCAAAGCATTTCAAAGTGAGCTAGCATTTAAGAGCCCGTAGATAACTACGGATGAAAAGGGTACTAACACCTTCCCTTTTCATAACCTACCCTCCGAACTCAAAAAATTCTCAAAGGTATTTCATGTTCTTTTCACCGTTTCCTTTATTGGATAAAATAAAAGTCGATGGTGACTCTTGCTATCCGCAACAATTGCGATGAAAAGAAAAACACCCAAGTCAGTTCTCCCACCGTATCACAGTGACCAAAATTCTTTTTACCAAGAGTCGACCAGAAAGTTGGGTGAGTCGACACAAAGAGATTTTATTTGGAAAAATGCTTATCTAAGAGTTCAATTCACACAATATCCAATTGATGTCAAAAATCACTTAATGTAAAAAGCACTTAAATCAATTGAATTCAAAATTCAATTCTAACCAACAATTAATTCATGCTTATATCACAAAAAAACCAAATCAATTCAAGAATCAAGCCTTAACCATAAATTCAAGAATTCAACTCATGAAGTATCACAAAAATTAACCAATTCAAGAATTATAGCATAACCTCGAGAATTCACATAATGTATGTTTATGACATGATTACAAAGTCCCAGACTAAGTAAGAGAATCTGGTTAATCTTCAGAAATTGTTTGAAAGTTTGAGAAAGTTCAAATTAAGTCTGAATCCAAATAAGTGTACCTTTGGAGTGAGATATGGAAATTTGTTGGGCTTTATAGTCAGTGAACCAGGTATTGAGGTTGGTCATGCCAAAGTAAAAGCTATACAAGAAATTCATGAGCCTAGAATAGAAAAATAGTTTCGTGGTTTCTTAGGGAGATTGAACTACATAGATAGATTCATCTCTCATCTTACAACCGCTTGTGAACCAATATTCAAATTTTTGCGAAAAGATCAGGCTATCAGGTGGAACGATAATTTCTAAAAGGCCTTTTATAGAATAAAAGAAAATCTGCAGGAACCTCATATTCTTATGCATCCAGTAGAAGGAAGACCTTTGATAATGTATTTGATAGTGTGATCGGTGGATCTGGAACTGACTGTTTTAAAGCTGGTTCGCGAAATGTCGCGGTAAGCAAGAGTCGCCACCGTCTTTTATTTTCTCCAATTGGAAAGGACAAAAGCACAGAAAAATTCCTTTAAAGAGATTGCTCTCGGTTCGGGAGGTAGGTTATAGAAAGGGAAGGTGTTAGCACCCTTTCTATCCATGGTTATCCATGGGCTCTTAGGTACTTGCTCAATGTGTTTTCAAAATGTTTGCTTGCTTTTCAATGTGGGTTTCAAAAATATTCTTTGAAAAGTTTCAATTCAACTCGTACGTCAGAGTGTTTGAAAAGTTTGTTTTGAAAGTTTTTGAAAGTGTGTCGGTGTGAAAAGTATTTTGATTTGTTTGAAATTAGAGCAAGTATCTACGAGAACCTACCTACCCTAAGGAATTCGTCTGTGTAAATGTCCTTTAAAGTAGTGCCATCCCACTATTGAGAGGTAGGTAGCACCACCGTCGGAGGTGTTCGGGTCAATTCGAGTTTTAGGGACGTGGTGGTCACCAGAGCAACAGTAGGACACCTTAGAAGCTACCCTTATGCCATTGATCCTTTATTTTCCGAGGCAACCGTTTCGAGGCAACTGGATCATGTCATGGACATAAGGACTTACTAAAACGTCCTATACTCGACGACCACCTTTCGAAAGGCAACAGTGAGGCGTACCCTAGGGGTGGTGTGTGCGAATTGTGTGTCATTTTCAGTTTATTGTTTGTCTTGTCATGCAATGGTGATCTAACGATTCGATTTTTATTTTTGGGCATTCATTCTTTCATGTTATTGTTTAACAGTTATATTTGCGAGAAAATAAATCTAAACTATTACAACCGGCGCGGGTCCACATCGCCAAAAAAAACCGAACCCGATTTGACTGAAAATAAATAAAGCGAATAAAATAAAAAGTGCAAGAAATAAATCTAAACTTATTACAAGGCTTTGGGGCATATACAGAGGTATTTAAACAATATAAAATAAATGTGCGAAATAAAGAGTTTAAACAAAATTAGGGCATTGGACCCTTTTACAAATAATTAAAATTAATCAAGGAAATTAAAAATTAAATGAAAAATAATGTTTTTGTGTTTTTTAGGTTTAAAAGAAAAAAGAGAAAAGTTAATTAAAATTAAAATCCTAGTTCTATCATTTTTTAAGTTTATTATAAAAAAAGATTTAATTTCTAGCCTAATTAAATTCTAAACTAATTTATGTACAATTTTTGATTTATAGAAAATAAATAATAAATAATAATATTGTGAGAAAAAAGGAAAAAAAAATTAAAAAGGATATAAAAAATTAATAATTAACCTAATTCTACATTTTTTTGGATTTTTTATTATGAAAAAAAGAATTAAAATTAAAATTAAAACCTAATTAAGCTAAATGAGTTATATTTTAATTTATTTGAAACAAGAATCAAAATTAATTATATTTTTTTTGTCCTTTCTGTATTTTTAATGTTTTTATATTTTTTTGATTAAAAATTAAATAAAACAAGTAATTAAAATAATACAACAATTAAAATAAATGATTAAAAGATATAAAAAAAAAAATCAAATGGGCAAACCAAGGGGGGTAGACCCCAGAATTGGAGGTATAGATTTGAAAGCCTGGCCCAATTATTGGTGAGAACTTGTTGACTTTTTTGATCCAGTGAGATGCATTTGACTGAAGTGTAGCATGTTTCCCAATCCTTGCCTTTGATGTGAGTGTTCTAGGACACGTGGATGATGCATTTTGATGGAGTATGGTGAGCATCAATGTGAGCGCTGCATGTGAATTAGAAATGAAAAATAATATTGGAAATGTGTGAGACCTGGGGTTTGAACCCAGGTCATGAGAGTCCCTAGTGCGCGTCCCTGCCAGCTGAGCCAATTGATTTCATTTAACATATAATAGTTAATAAACAATATAAAATAAAACTAACGCATAAGGACTAACACGCGCGCGAATTTTGAATGGACAA